ATAAATGCTTTTAGGAGAAAACATGCCTGAAAGTCCTTTTAAGTGTTTCGTTACTCAGACACATGACAGCTATCATGTTCCCCCCCCCCCCCAGTCCTTCTTTTCTCTAGGATGCCCAAACCCAAATCCTGCAACCGTTCTTCATACCTTTTTGTCTACAGGCCTTTAATCCTCTCAGTTGCCCTTCTCTGCATTTTTTCCCCAAAGCCTCAACATCTTTTTTTTGTAATGTGGTGACCAAAACTGCATGCGGTATTCCAGCTGTGTTAAAATTCCATCTATGTTAAAACTGAACAGCCCCTCGCTCAGTATAGGTTATAATAATAAAGTTGGAAGGGACCTTGGAGGTCTTCTAGTCCAACCCCTTGCTCAGGCAGGAAACCCTATACCATTTCATGTAGAGGCCCTGCAGGGCAGATGCAGTCTTGACTATGGAGTCCTTGGTGCTGTTTGAGCTTGGTTGTGTTTTAGCAGACATTTCATTACCCAACCAAGTAACGTCAGTGTTAGAAGGGAGTAGGGTTTTCTCTCTGTTTTTACACAGTGGCTACAATAAACAACAGCCTAATGGAGGAACTACTAAGAAGAAGAAAATTTCTCCCATGAACATTGACAGGGCAAGCTGCTAATATATATAAACAGAGCCAACCCCCCATCCTTTCAAGTATTGATGATGTTACCTAATTTGGTAATGAAACGTCTGCAAGAAAACCACCCAGGACCCCACAGTCCTCCTCCTCCTCCCCCCTTCTATTCCTGATGATGTTACCCAGTTGGGTCATGAAATGTCTGTTAAGAAAACCACCCAGCTCAGAGAGCACCAAGGACCCCCACAGTCTCCTCCTCTTCCTCCTCCCTTCTAGCACTGATAATGCTACCTAGCTGGGTCATGAAACTGCAAGGAAACCACCAAACTCAGAGAGCACCAAGGATCCCATTGTCGTCCTTCCCCTCCTCCTCCCTGCTAGCACTGATGATGTTACCTAGTTGGGTCATGAAATGTATGCAGGAAAACCACCCAGCTCAGAGAGCACCAAGGACCCCACAGTCCTCCTCCTCCTCCCTTCTATCCCTGATGATGTTACCCAGCTGGGTCATGAAACATCTGCAAGAAAACCACCCAGCTCAGAGAGCACCAAGGACCCCACAGTCCTCCTCTTCCAGTTCTTTGCTCCTGCCTTCTCCTTATCTTACACTCTGTAAACTCCACTCCCTTCTAGCCCTGATGATGTTACCTAGTTGGGTCATGAAACGTCTGCAAGAAAACCACCCAGCTCAAAGAGCACCAAGGACCCCCACAGTCGTCCTCCTCTTCCTCCTCCCTTCTAGCACTGATGATGCTACCTAGCTAGGTCATGAAACGTCTGCAAGAAAATGACCAAACTCAGAGAGCACTAAGGACGCCATTGTCGTCCTCCTCCTCCTCTCTGCTAGCACTGATGATGTTACCTAGTTGGGTCATGAAACGTCTGCAGGAAAACCACCCAGCTCAGAGAGCACCAAGGACCCCCACAGTCCTCCTCGTCCTCCCCCCTGCAAACCCTACTCCCTTCTAGCACTGATGATGCTACCTAGCTGGGTCATAAAACATCTGCAAGGAAACCACCAAACTCAGCCAGCGGCAAGGACGCCACAGTTCAAAAACATGAGCTACCAATATTCTCTTCTATGGGAAGGCTATATTAAGCTCACGCGGTTCTTTAGAGTGTGTTGTGATGAGTCTTTTTTTTTTCTTCCTGCCTTTTAGTTGGCTCTAACAGCTCGGGAGGCTCCCTCTGTTCTACCAGTGGCCGGGTCCTGATGGGCTCTCCGCCCGGAATTTACATGGGTTCCTCTCCTCCCAGCGCCGAGGCAGCACCTTGCTTGAAGTACATGCCGTACGGCGCATCCCCTCCCAGCTTTGAAGCTCCAGAACTGCCGGAAGAAACTTTGATGGAGGTACGGGGTTGAGAGAGACATTCCAGTTCAAGGTTAAGGGGGTACACAGGGGGTCCTCAAATTACAATCATTGGTTTAGTGTCATAAGAGCCTTGGTGGTGCAGTGGTTAGAATGCAGTATTGCAGGCTACTTCTGCTGACTGCCGGCTGCCGGTAGTTCGATCCTGTCCGGCTCCAGGTTGACTTGGCCTTCCATCCCTCCAAGGTCGGTAAAATGAGGACCCAGATTGTTGGGGGGGGCGAGATGCTGACTCTGTAAAGCAGCGGTTCTCAACCTATGGGTCGCGACCCCATTTGGGGTCGATCAACCATTTCACGGGGGTCGCCAAGCAAGGCTGTCCGCCATTTTTTTTCCCCTTTTCCGGCGGGTGCCTTACCTCCCTTGGGCTGGGCCAGCTGGTGGTCGGCCTGCTCCGTCTCTGCCACTTGCCAGCTACGCCTCGGCCGGCGCAGGGGGCGGAACCACGCATGCGCGGCGCTCCCAGGCAGGGAAAGTCCTCGACTTACAACCGGTTGGGTAGTCCTCGACTTACGACCGGTTTAGTCCTCGACTTACGACCGGTTGGGGGTCGTGGCATTAAAAAGGTTGAGAACCACTGCTGTAAACCACTTAGAGAGGGCTGTAAAAGGCCCTGTGGAGCGGTATATAAGTGCTATTGCTTGGGAAAGGAAGGAAGGACGACGAGAAGGAAGGGAAACAAGGAAGGAAGCCGTGGTGGCGCAGTGATTAGAATGCAGCATTGCAGGCTGACTGACTGCCCACAGCCAGGAAGTTCGATCCTGACCGGTTCAAGGTTAATTCAGCCTTCCGTCCTTCCGAGGTCGGTAAAATGAGGACCCAGATTATTGGGGGCAAATAAAATTTAAGCTCGACTTTGGCTTGCTTCCCTCCAGAGAGAGCACACCGACACGCTGCGCCACTTGAATTTGATGCTGGCCTTCACGGAGTGCGTGCTGGACCTGACGGCTATTCGGAGTGGCAACCCAGAGCTCTGCAGCTCCGCCGTGTCCCTCTACCAGATCCAGGAGAGCATCGTGGTGGATCAGATCAGCCAGCTAAGCAAAGACTGGGGGTGGGTAATTCCTCAAAACGCCTGGCTCTCTCTCGTGGAAATCTCTTCCCGCCCGGGGCGGTTCGTGTTCCAACTTCTCGCTGTTATCAAAATGGTTTCGAAACATTCGACAATTTATTTACGCTTTTTTTTTAATCTTTGTGCAGTTTTTATTTTATTTTTTTATGATTGTAAGCTGTCCAGGTTACCCCGAGGTAAAATGGGTGGCCAGTAACTTTTATAAATATATATATATATAGGTTCCCCACACGATTTCACACTTTGTAGAGGAAAGGTGAGAATATGTTAAGAATAGGAATAGAAATAAGTGTAGAATAGAATAAAATAGAACAATAGGAGGACTATAGAATAGAATAGAATAGAATAGAATAGAATAGAATAGAATGAGAATTGAATAGAATAGAATAGAATAGAATAGAATGAGAATTGAATAAGAATTGAATAAGAGTTAGGAATAGAATAAGAATAAGAATTAGGAATAGAATAAGAATTAGGAATAGAATGGAATAGAATAAGAATTAAGAATAGAATAGAATAGAATAGAATAGAATAGAATAGAATAGAATAGAATAGAATAGAATAGAATAGAATAACCAAGTTGGAAGGGACCTTGGAGGTCTTCTAGTCCAACCCCTTGCTCAGGCAGGAAACTCTATACCAGGGATCCCCAACCCCCAGTCCATGGACCAATACCGGGCCACAGCATGCCAGCAACTGGTCTGCACAAACAAGCAAAGCCCCATCCCTGGGATACAGGCAGCACACAAAACCACGCATTCTCCAGTCCACAGAAAAACCCTTCTCCACGGAACCGGTCCCTGGTGCCCAAAAGGTTGGGGACCTCTGCCCTATACCATTTCGAACAAATGGCTGTCCAGTCTCTTCTTTAAAACTTCCAGTGTTGGAGCATTCACCGCTTCTGGAGGCAGGTTGTTCCACTGGTTAATTGTTCTCACTGTCAGGAAATTTCTCCTTAGTCCTAGCTTGCTTGAGTTGAGTTGATGCAGGCCCACCTGGCAGATTGCCCTACAGGTGCACCCACAATCTGGAGCAGTCTGGCTTTTTATCCTCTCAGAGTCTCCTTGAACCTGGAGATGGAGAGCAAAGAAATTGGATAATAATTTAATAACGATACAAAATACAAAGAGCTGCAAATAAAAATAGAACGGCTGTAGCAAAAGAAAGCAAAAGTAGTACCAATAGGGATTGGTGCCTGGAGTGCAAACCCAACACATCTGGAGCACCACTTAAACACCATTGGAATTGACACAATTCCATCAGTCAATTGCAAAGGGCAGTTTTAGTTGGCACGGCTGACATCCTGCAATGATACCTCTAAGGATGGGATAGGCAACCTTGGCTCTTTTATGACTCGTGGACTTCAACTCCCAGAATTCCTGAGCCAGCATGGGGGAACTATGGCCCCCTTTATGCCTTGTGGACTTCAACTCCCAGAATTCCTGAGCCAGCCATGCTGAGGGGAAAGGGAGAGGTTTCCATGCTGAGCCATGCTGGCTCAGGAATTCTGGGAGTTGAAGTCCACGAGTCATAAAAGAGCCAAGGTTGCCTACCCCTGCATCTAAGGTCTCAGTCGGTGGACAAAAATGCCAAACCATAATATCCTGGCTTGTCCAGTTATTTTAATGCTGAATGCTTTTGTGGATTGAGTACAACTGTGTTTTAATAAGACCAGTTGCTGACACAGCCTTTGAATTGTAAAACAGAAGTTGGGTCCAGGAGTCTGCAGGTAGTCCCCGACTTAACGACCGTAATTGAGCCCAGGATTACAGTCGTTAAGCGAGCCGCCACATGATTGTGACCAATTTTTATTGCCTTTTTGCAGCGGTCATTAAGTAAATTGGCATGATTGTTGAGTGTATGCGGCAGTTAAGCAAACAGGCTTTAAATTAACTGCAAAAGCCAGGATATTATTATTGCTATAATTCAGGGGCCCCCCAACCTGTGGGCCGCAGCCTACACACCGGACCGCGGCCTATTGGCCACTAGGCCGTGTGAGTGGCTGGCCGGCGCCCTCGTGTGCACACGCGCATAGCCCCACTCGTGTTGAGCATCAGTGTGAGCATTTGCAGCCCCACCACAAACTGTTGCATCATCATTACCATTACTTCTTCCTCCTAATTTGCATCACCGTCAAAGGCGCTCTTAGCCACACTTGCGCAAGCACCCACGGCCCCACTCACGTGAGCAATGGGTGTTCGACTGCAGGTGTGTGCATGCATTTACCCCCCCCACACACACACACACGCACAAAACCATTCCTCCTTTCCACCCTCTCCCTGCTCCAGGCCGCCAATCTCAAAAGGCTGGTCTGCTGTAATTCGTTGCACAGTCCACCAAATGTTCAAACTGGGTTTGGCGTTTTTGTCTGCCTGTTGAGTCCTTCCCAAAGACCGGGGAATAGGCAGATGTTGATGTTTGATGGACTTTCTTGTTTTTCCTTTGAAGACGTTTCGCTTCTCATCCCAGAAGCTTCTTCAGCTCTGACCGGATGGTGGGGGAATGGAAAGATTTATACTCCTTGCAGACAGCCGGTTGTTTGCCTTCTTTTGGAGAGTCGTTGAGGCCACTTGGAGTCTTACCTGTGTCCTCAGGGTCACCTGAGTGGTGCAAATGGGGGTGGATGCAGGATGTTTTCTGCCCTGGGTCCCTTCCCTGTTGGAGACGGGCGCAGGCTGTTGGGGATGAGTCCCGTGTTGTCTGCATCTCCAACTGAAGCGCAGATGGTTTTTGTAGCCTGCCATGTTTTCTGGAAATCCGTTCATCCTCCCTCACCATCCGAAGGGTGTTCAACCCAAAGCGCATGGCTAAATGTCCATGGAGATTCTCAGCCATCCAGGTCATAGTTTATCCCAAAGGTGCTTTTCAAAAGGCAACTGGACTTCCGTTGTTTATTATTATTATTATTATTATTATAATAATAATAATAAAGTTGGAAGGGACCTTGGAGGTCATCTAGTCCAAGCCCCTGCTCAGGCAGGAAACCCTACACCATTTCAGAAAAATGGCTGTCCAGTCTCTTCTTAAAAACTTCCAGTGTTGGAGCATACATAACTTCTGGAGGCAGGTTGTTCCACTGGTTAAATTGTTCTAACTGTCAGGAAATTTCTCCTTAGTTCTGGGTTTGCTTCTCTCCTTGATGAGTTTCCACCCGTTGCTCCTTGTCCTGCCTTCAGGTGCTTTGGAGAATAGCTTGACTCCCTCTTCTTTGGGGCAGCCCCTGAGATACTGGAAGGCTGCTATCATGTCCCCCCTCGTCCTTCTCTTCGTTAAACTAGACATACCCAATTCCAGCAACCGTTCCTTATATGCTTTAGCCTCCAGTCCCCTTATCTTTGAAGACGTTTCGCTTCTCCTCCCAGAAGCTTCTTCAGCTCTGACTGGCTTCTTTTTCGAGCATTCCTGCTTTAACCAAACCTGGCCAAATAGGAAAAGAAAATTAAACATTAAATGACAACGAATATGTTTGATTTATTGATTAATCTAGAGCAGGGGTGTCAAACTCAATTTCATTGACGGCCGCATCAGCATTACGGTTGCCTTCGGGGGGGCAGGTGGGTGTGGCCTACTGGGTGGGCGTGGATGGAGTGGGTGTGGCCTACTGGGTGGGCACAGCCAGCTCTACATCGTTCGCGTCCAGGGTGCCTGTGGGGGCCTGGGCAGGAGTGGGACAGATCTGAGGGTCTCTGGCAGAAGGGGGTGGGACCGGGGCAAGCGCCAAAGCAGGGTCCATTTCTTCATTCCCCACAAAGGGTGACCCCTCCCCAGCAGGCACCCAGGGGGGCGGGGCCAACGTGGCAGGGGCTGGTTCCTCGCTGTTTCCAGACGGCCTTGTGGAGCTAAGACTGAATGCGTTTCAGCATAGATGGCCACCACAAAATTGTACATTGGCTCCCGGCTGGGCCAGGGCCAAGGCAGCGGGGGCCGTTCCCTCACTGTTTCCAGGATGGCTTCGCGGGCCACATGAAACCACTTTGCGGGACACATCCGGCCCCCGGGCCTTGTGTTTGACATGTTTGATCTAGGCAATATATTTAATGTTTTTTGATTTATTAAAGGGGATATTGTGTTATTAAGTAGACGATTTAATATGGTGGGAAATAGATAGATAACTCTTAGGAAATAGAACAGATAACAGAAATAGATAACTCTTAGGAAATAGAACAGAATAGATAAAATGTGTATTTTGGATATTATATAGTTCGTTATCTAGTGAAATAAGGGAAATTTGGGTTACCCCAAGTTCTGAAAATTATAAATATCAAAGGTTAAATTGGAATATTGACAAGAAATTTAAAAAATTGACTAAAAATCAATAACAGGATATGGATGGTTTATGAAGATTGAATGTAATTAAGATACACATAAGCTAAAAACGTATTGGTCAATGTAATAATGATGTCCTTATTGAACTGATATAATTAGAAATGTACCAACCTGAACATGAGACAGTAATGGTTAAGGGGAAAAAGAGAAGAAACATTTGATGTTGTAGCCTGAGATTTGTACTAAGATATTGTTGTTGTTCTTCTTCTTGTGCCATATCCGTTATCGGACGTTGGCGATCCTGTTTTTATCACCAGTCTCACGAAAAAGTGCTGCTGAGTTTTGTCCAAACCAATCCCTTAGATTTTGACGCCACGATGTTCTTTTTCTGCCTGGACCTCGTTTGCCTTCAATCTTTCCCTGGAGGATTAAATGGAGTATGCCGTATTTTTCTGGGTGTCGCATTACATGTCCGAAATATTCTAATTTTCGTTTTTTAATTGTCTTGATGATTTCCCTTGGCTTTCCCAGGCGGCTTATCACCTCCTCATTTCCGATCTTGTCAACCCAACTTATACGTAACAGCCGCCTGTAAAGATATTGACTTAAATGGTAGAAGATGGTAGAGGACAGGAAGGCCTGTCCATGGGGTCACGATGGGTCGGACACGACTTCGCGACTAACAACAACGTTGTTACTGAGCTATTGATGAACCCAGTCACCACGTTGCTTTTTAAATATTCAAATCTGAAATTGGAAAATTCATAAACTATTATTCCAAAAAAAACCAACCCCTGGCCAAATAGATTGTCCGTGGCTGAGTGGCCAAATTGAGCCACGAAAAGGTTGTTGACATTGTCCTGTTGTCTTCCTATCTAGGCAAGTTGAGCAGCTGGTTCTGTACATGAAGGCAGCCCAGCTCCTGGCCTCCTCCTTGCACCTGGCCAAAGCCCAGATCAAGTCAGCCAAGCTGAATCTCTCGACCGCGGTGAAGCAAGGTGAGCCCGACGACGTTCCTTCCGCAGAAAGTTCCAGAACGTTTTTTCAATCTCGGAGTCCCAACCGGCCTCTGGTGGTTGAGGGTTACAAAGTGCGAATTCTTTTCTGCTGGCGACGCTACATTTTTCTAATAATAGTAGTAGTAGTAGTAGTAGTAGTAGTAGTAGTAGTAGTAGTAGTAATTAATAATAATAATAATAAAGTTGGAAAAGACCTTGAAGGTCATCTAGTCCAACCCCCTGCTCAGGCAGGAAACCCTATACCAGGGGTAGGCAACCTTGGCTCTTTTATGACTCATGGACTTCAACTCCCAGAATTCCTGAGCCAGCATGGGAGAACTATGGCCCCCTCGTGACTCATGAACTTCAACTCCCAGAATTCCTGAGCCAGCATGGGAGAAGTATGGCCCCCTCATGACTCATGGACTTCAACTCCCAGAATTCCTCAGCCAGCATGGAAACCTCTCCCTTTCCCCTCAGCATGACTGGCTCAGGAATTCTGGGAGTTGAAGTCCACGAGTCATAAAAACAGCCAAGGTTGCCTACCCTTGCCCTTTACCATTTCGGACAAATGGCTGTCCAGTCTCTTCTTAAAAACTTCCAGGGTTGGAGCATTCACTGCTTCTGGAGGCAAGGAGTTCCACTGGTTAATTGTTCTAACTGTCAGGAAGTTTCTTTTCTTTTCTTTCTTTATTTCACCTAGTCCTGTTGGAAGGACAAGTAGTCCTCGCACTTACGGCCACCACTGAGCCCAGCTAAGCAAGACAGTTTTGCTCCATTTCTTGCCACCGTTGTTAAGCGAATCTCTGCAGTTCTTAAATGAGTCAAACCGTTGTTAACTGAATCTAGCTTCCCCATTGTCAGAAGGTCGCAAAAGAGAAAGCACATGACACCCCCCCAGGACACAGTGACCATCATAAATATGAGTCACTTGCCCAGTGTCCGAATGTTGAGCACATGAGCGTGGGAACGCTACAGGGGTCGTAAGTGTGAAAAAGGCTCATAAATTACTTTTTTTAGTGCCCTTGTAATTTCGAACAGTCACTAAACTATCTGTAAAGGCAAAACATTACAGATGAGTTTCGGGGCGTTACTCAAATAGATGCCTTCAGATTACCAGAGGGTGGACATTATCTGCAATAGCCATTTTGTTGCCAGATCACCACTCCTGAATTGGGAAGCTTCTGTGGCTGCATGCCTGCCAAGCCTGTTATTTTGCAGGGAGTGTGCTATGTTACACAATGGGCCATGGGTCCTTAGAAAAGTAAGCAATGTTGGGTAACAACACTTAGAGCCTGTCTTTTTCCAGATAACATTGAACAGAATAACAGATCTGGAAGGGACCTTGAAGGTCTTCTAGTCCAACCCCCTGCTCAGGCAGGAAACCCTGTACCATTTCAGACAAATTGTCGTCCAGTCTCTACTTAAAAGCCTTCCAGTGTTGGGGCATTCACAACTTCTGGAGGCAGGTTGTTCCATTGGATAATTGTTCTCACTGTCAGGAAGTTTCTCCTTAATTCCAGGTTGCTTCTGTCCTTGGTTAGTTGCTTCTTGTCCTGCCTTCGGGTGCTTTGGAGGTTAGGCTGACACACACACACACACACACACACACACACACCTCTTTTTTGTGGCAACCCCTCAGATATTGCAACATTGCTATTTAGAAAAGGGCACCTGTCAACAACCCTTTTTAAGTAGCTGCACCTTGCACCTTTACATCTCTGCCTCGATTCTCGGTAGACCTTAACTTACGACACAATTGCCATGTGGCCATTAAGTGAATCATTGCATGAGTACACCCAATTTTGCTACCCTTTTGCCTTGGTTAGAGTTGAAATCTCCAAGTCTTAAAGTTGCCAATTGGTAGCTGGGGAATTCTGGGAATTGCAGTTGCCAAGTGCTGGCTGGGAAATGCTGGGAGTTGAAGTCCACAAGCCTTGAAAGTTGCCAAGTGCTGGCTGGGGAATTCTGGGAATTGAAGTCCCTGAATCATAAAGTTGCCAAACCACCTTAAAGTTGGAGACCACCCCTGACCTAGGGGGTTACTTTGTTAGCGGTCTCACAACTGGATATTGTAAATTAACTAAGAGATGCATTAGTGACTAGGGCGGTGGGCAGGATGTGACTTGCCACAATTCATGTCACAAAGGGCCAGATTATTATTATTAATCGACACATCTGTTCAACACAAAAATGTGGTGTCCAGTCTTCTTAATTGAGGCTTAAACCAATACATTCTGGGAGTTGAAGTCCACAAGTCTTAAAGTTGCCACGGTTGTGGACACCCCTGGCCCAGAAGGAAAGGGTTGCTAAGACCAAAGGTAGCTGTGATGAGTGAGATTTGTTGATTTGTATATATTGGTCTCCTGCACCCTCCTGGGGATTAGAAATCTGCTCTTAACCTCTCTCGTTCTGTCAATAGCAGCCAAAGAACCAAATGGGAATTTTTTTTGCTGACTGCATTTTTTGCTTCGGATTCTTTCTTTTGCAGTGGTCAAAAATCTGAACGAGAGGTACAAATTCTGCATCGCCATGTGCAAGAAGCTGACCGAAAAGCTGAACCAGTTTTTCTCAGATAAGCAGCGTTTTGTCGATGAAATCAACAGCGTCACCGCCGAAAAGCTCATCTACAGTTGTGCGGTGGAAATGGTAAGAAAGCTGGCAGAATAAATCGATCATCGGGCGATCCGAT